CCCCAAAACCCCAAAACCCCAACACCAAATGCTGATTTAATATCGATCTTGTCTTAAATAATTATAATTAATTAATGAAGATATAGGAATTAAAGACTAACTCAATTTTAGGGAACTCATTAAAAAGGTATTATTTGCAGAGACTTGAAGGCCAAGAAAAGTCCTAGCTCTACATCCAATCTAGGTTTATCCCTGGCAGAACTGAAGTTAAATTTACACCCTTTGATAAGGAAATAATATAAATCATCACTCATCCCTCAAGTTAGAAACCTCACAAAGTAATAATTAATCATTCAAATTAATCCTTTTAGATGGTAGCTACAGCTCTGAGTGATAAATTAATGTCAAGGCTTGAGTAATTTTGCATTTCAAATGTTTAAAAGAAAGAATAAGAAAAGAGAAAGAATGATGAGAGCAGTGATGATGAGTAAGCAACATTCTTATTTCATTCATTAATTAGTTTATACGGAGATTTAATAAAAGTAAAACAGGATTTTAGTGCTCTCTAAACAAAAGCAAAAGAAACCATAGACTAAGCCGAGAAATTAGATAAAAAGTAATGGATAGGTGCAAAGGAGCAAGAAACTTAGTAATTGGAATTAGATGATATTTTCAAGGATGATCCAGTTGAAAAGGATAAATTCAAAAGTATGATTCCTGGAGCATTAGAGAAAGATGTGATGGTTTATGATTATTTCGAGCAGAATTCTAAGCAGCAGAAGATCGTTAAAAAGGAGATGCATGATCCATCTTCAAAAGGATTTGATATAAGATAATTCAGACTAAAGCAAGCTGCTATGAGGTAGGAGCAGGAATCTAAGAATAAAAATGTCAAGGGTCTCGGATAATTCGACAAAAGCAAAGGTGATGATGGCTTTGGCATATCTATGATGAACATGGAGCTAAGTAAAGCTGACAAAATGGTGATAGATTCTAATAAGGTGATAGAGTAATTCAATGATGAAGATGCAATCAAGTAAGACGAAGAGTTTATGTAGGATTAAAAGAGAAAGAGTTTTGCTTTTGGTGGATAGAATGTCCGTGATCGTATTTAAAAACGAAAACAGCAAAGATTTAATAATCAAGTCACTAAAATTGAGAAGCTAATATCAAAAAGGAAGCTGAGAGAAGATGGCTAAGAAGTGTCTGATAGTGACAAAGATGATGATAATAATGCGAGTGATGATGAAGACACAAATAATAAAAATAGTAAAAGATAGAAACAAAAATGAAATTAATTAAATGTAATATTGATTATTACTGATTAATGTCTTAATGCACAATAAAATAAATCCAAGCTAGTGGGGTTTTGGGGTTTTGGGG